CTACAGTGTGACCCACAGCTCCACCCTGCAGTGCTGTCAGCTACAGTGTGACCCACAGCTCCACCCTGCAGTGCTGTCTGCTACAGTGTGACCCAACAGCCACACTCCAGAACTATTGGCCATGCCAGCTGGTGTCTGAGGAGAAAATGGGTGCCCTCAGGCTCTAAGGCCACAACCTCTGAGTAGCAGACCGCCAGGCCTCTGGGTGGACCCTCTTTGGTTAGCAGCCAAGCGGGCACTGCCAAGGAGGCTCCTGCCAACAACCTGGACTTGGCCTCCAGCAAGCTGGACTATCAGCTCCGCCAACCTCAGTCGTTCCATCTGTCAGAGGGGCTGAGCCGCTTCCTGAAGACCTTCTGGCCAGGCACCCCTGAGCCATCCCAGAGCCTGCGCCCGCTCCGACTCTCCCCACCCGCCAGCCTGCCTCCCCAATCATCGGACAGGAGAAGGCCAAGCGAGAGGGGCCAAGACCCAAGCCAGCGGCCCAGGAAGGAAGCGGCAGAGTCCCAATCAAGCCCCGTCCCGGTGGTGGCGCTGTGGCCGCAGTGATCAGGCTGATTGGTCTCCCTCCCAGGCTCCAGCACCCACCCATCCTACCTGGCCGGCCGGTCTAGGTGGGCTTTAATCTTTTTCGCTTCCGTTTTTTACCTGATTCCCTAGGCCTTCCTGTCAACAAAAGTGCAGGGAGGGTGAGCAGCAAGGCCCAGCCAGGCCCAGGAGGTGCGGGTGGGAGCCCTAGAGCAATAAATACCTGCCCTGTTTATCTTTCGGCAGAAAACCCTGCACTTCCTGGTGCCCCCACCCCCTCCAGGGCGGTCACCACAGCCACCACAGCGGGTCCCTACGCCCCACAGCCTCGGGGCACAGTCCACCCTGGAGGGCAAAGGTCAAGGCTCAGGGCGGCCTGTGGGTGCTGGTCCATGAATCCAGTCTTCACCTCAGCCATGTCTACACTGCACCCCAGCCTAGGGCCTAGACCAGAAGCTCAGCCCTCAGCTTGGGCTACAGTGCAGTGGGGGGGTTGGGGGTGGTGGATGGACTTCGCTGAGGCAGCTCAGGGGAGTGTGGGCAGGGCGGGGCTCTGCAGGGACACCTTTGGGTGGACGGCTGGGCCTCTCTGCCCCACCCAGGGCTCTTCTTCACAGAAACCACCCCACAAGCCCCGCCTGCATGGGTTTCAGGAACCTTCCTTCCATAGGCAGGTGGCACCCACCTGTCCCCTCTTCCCGGTAGTCGGGGTTCAGATGTGAGATCGCACACGTGCACTCCAAGTGCTCTTCCAGCCGCACTTGCACTTCTTTCAATTTTGGCTTCTTCCTGACATACTCCACTTTAGCCACCTGCCGAGAGAGAGGAGCCTGGTGTCACAAGGGCTGGAGGGGTGAGGGGTGGGGCCGGGCAGGCAGCGAGTGGGTCCCAAGGCCCCAGGCACCCTGAGGGAAGCTCAAAGAATGAACACCATGCACGGGACCCCGTGGAAGGGGGCAGAGGGAGGGCCTTTCTACATAGCTGGACTGTGGGGCCTTCTTGCAAACGGGCACTTTCATTTAAGAGGAAAAACTAACATTGTTCGAGCCTGGGCACAGACTCAAGGACTTGGCTCACTTAGACTCTCATCCCAGAAGAGCGTGCGCGCACTGGTGCTTGCACACACACTGTCCAGAGAGCACCCAGCTCAGAGACAAGTGCAGGACACACAATTCCAGAAGGTCCTGCTGCTGAACCACCCAGAGCTGGACTTGCTCACGGGGTCCCAGGAGATGCTGGCCACACAGTGATCTCCTGGCGGACATCTCACTGCCTCAGCCAACACCCAGAAGTGGGCTTTCTGACAAAGGAGACGGACCAGGTGTACCTGCTCCAGACCCAGGCTAGTCCGTGGGCATCACTGGGGGCCAGGCGGACCCCTCCCAGGAGGTAGGACTGCCTGAAGCAAGCTTATTGCCACATACACCTGCGGCCTGGGCTAGGTATGTGCATACACCAGTATGCAGCTCCCAAGTCCGGTTGGTGTGGTGGGGAAGGGGGAGGAGGAACAGGAACCCAGGAGCAGCCACCTTGGTACTTCTAGGGACACACACACACACACACACACACACACACACACACACACACACACCACACACACATGGGCATCATCTTCACCAAGCCACCAGCAAGCCTTCGATGCTGACAGACCTCTCGGGATGCAGACGAAGGCTTGCGGTGAGTCCACTGCATAGACGGCCTGAAGTCCACTCTGAAAGGGGGGCTCCTGCTCTCACTCGGGGACACAGGGGTCAGCAGGCACTCTTTCGCCCCACCCCCACCCCATGTGTCACCTGAGGCCATCAGCTGGCTGTCTTCCCTGTAGGGGACCAGTCCGGTCAACCCCACTGACAGATGGGGAGAGGGCTCAGGCTTGTGTTGGGTGGGTTCTGGTGCACCCCACCTCCACCTCCTAAGTTTCTCAGTCCTGTGCCCCCAGTGCCCACACATCCAGCTGGCTGCCACCCTACACACACACACACACACATATACAACCGGCCCCATGCAGTCCCCACAGCCACCAAGTGCTTCCCCTCCCCGGGACCCACTACTGTGACTCCTGTGAGTGGACAGAAGCCCCCAAGATGACTGGGTCTTTCTCCCTAGTCTGTCTTAGTCTGGAAGATCCACTGAAATCTATTCATTGTCACAGCCACACGTCATCCTCCACAGGTCCTCTGGCCAGGAACTGAACCCAGGTCTTGGGCATAGAAGGTAGGAATCCCCTCCGCCCCCTGGGCCAACCCTGCCACTAATCTCACATGAGCCTGTCTTATAAAAGGCAGAGACAGACCCACGGTGGGTGACAGACACAAGCTGGGAGGCGAGGGCAGACCCTCCCCTCGAGCTGAGGCCTCTAGAACTGAGCTCACAAACTGCTCTGTCACCCCGGGCATGGAGGGCCTATCCCAGAGCCCAGGACATGTCAGCACTCCTGCCCACCTACCCTGGTCTCTCCGGGGCCCTGAGGCTTGTGTGAAGCCAGGCTGGCAGAGCAGCCACCCACCCACCTCCCATGGCCCCTGCGTGCAGCCTGGGCATTGTGGCCTGCCCTGTAAGTGGCTCTGGACCCCGCATGGGCTGAGGACTCCCCAAGCAGACGTGTTAATCATCAACCCAGGAGCAAAGGTGCCATCGGACACGTGAAGAGGTGTTGCCGACCGGTGTAAAGGGCTGGCACCAGCCCTGTGCTCGCCGAGAGAAGCAGGTTTCGCTGCGTCACCTGGGGAGTCCGGGGTACAGAGGAGGGAAAAAGCCTCACCACACTCTGCTTCCCAGAGGGGACATGGGGCCCCTGCCACCCAGGGGTGCCCAGGGATGGGGTCGGGCCAGGGCTGGGGGCCTCAGTTTTCCCATCTGCAAAGCACGGCAGTGACATGGGGGAAGGTAGCCCCCAAAATCAGACCTGTCTTCCTGAAATCAGTCAGGGGCAGAGGATGAAGCTGGGGGCTTTGGGGTAGCCCACCTGCTCACCTAACTCTGTGACCCAAGGAGGCAGGCAAGGACCCCCCCTCAAGGGTGGGCAGGCTGCCTTTGGTTGTGGGGGTGGTTTCCCATGCAGGGCCCCTGGGCCTCTGGCCGCCCTAGCTGGGAGGACTGCCTGGCCCTTTCGTTCAACAAGCAGCCTCACCTAGGTCCCTCTCAGGGCACACACTCAGCTCGGTCAGAGCTGTGCTGGTACCCCACTGAGGACTCAGGCTGCCCCCCGCCCCTGCTGCCCCCTACCTGCATGCCCCCAGGCTGGGAACAGGCTCTCCAGACAGCCTGTCTATCAGAGAAAACAAACAGCAGTTTATGACTGCACCTGCCTTGGGTGTGGGAGCACTCTGGGCGGCTCGGCCACCCTGTCTGGCCGGGAAATGGCCACGTTCTCACTCCAGGAGCGTGCCAAGAATATTAACCTCTCGTACGCCTTCTGCACACGGGCAGAGGGCCTCCTGGGGACCCTCCCCATAGCCCAGTGGCTGGCACGTGCCCACCATTCGGGATTTTTCCAGTGGGAAGTGGTGAAGCCTCCCTTTCCTCTCATCTGAACACACCAGAAGCCTCCCCCTGCAGCCCGGCCTGAGGGAGACCCCAGGCCCTGCTGAACAGGTCAAGCCCTGCTGCCCCAGGCCTCCCCTGAGGACTCTGGGCAGAAGTGACCCACCATAAAACAACTATTTACTGATGACACCTGCCAGGCCCTCAGCAGACACAATCCCGCCCATTCACAGATAAGCACAGAGGCAGCTGGCCAGACACCTTCCCTGCATGTCCCCCAGAGACACTGTGCTCCCCACCCCTCCCTTGACACAGCACCAGCAGGAGGAAGTAGGCTGAGCCCTGGGGTGGGGGCTGCATCATGGAGGTCGAGAGCACCTGGAGGCTGGAAATAAGCCCTTCGCCAGCACACACGGGTCCTGAACCTCCCCTCCAGCCAACCACCCCATACAAGGGACAGAGGCCCGGCTCCTGGTGAGGTGCCAGCCCACAGTGGACCACGTCCACCCTGGATCTCAAGGAGCCTCTCCAACAGTGGTGGACTGGTTGCTGGTTAGGGAGCACAGGGGACAGAGCCACTTGTCAATAAACAATCTCCCCGACAGGCACAGTTTGGAACAACAAGGACACCACGGTGTCCTGACCATCCAGCCGCCAGTAGACAGACCTGCAGACAAACAGCCAGCAGGGGCCCCAGCTGGGCATAGCAGGTGGCTGCCAAGCTGTAACCACACACCTCAGCCTTGCTCTGTGGCCTTGAAGAGCCACCAAAGGCAGCACCTCTGGACACGCTGGACCCATGGGGCATGGTCCAGGAAGGATCTGGTGTCAGTGCAGACCAGAGGACAACAAACAGTCATGTGTCTACTAATGGCACCATCCCAGACCCCAGGAGTAGACTGGGCCACTGCCTCCCACTGCCCAGGGGTCATGGGGGATGGGTCTGCTTCCTCCGGGCAGAGCCCCCAAAAAGAGCAGAGCAGGACACAGGCTCCTGACCTCAGGGCACCAGCAGAGACTGGCCTGGAGCGGAGGCAGGGAGGGAGTAGGGGGTGGTTGGGGTGTGTGTGTGTGTGTGTGTGTGTGTGTGTGTGTGTGTGTGTACCCTGGGCTTCTGCTGCCTCCTCGGGGTCTCAGGCCCCTGCCACACTCCTCAGACAAGGCCCAGGCGGCCATGAGCAGACTTTGTGCTGGGCAGTTCCCTGGCCGGACCACCATGCACCCCCCTCCTAAAGAATCACTGACCTAAGCCCCAGGGGTGGGCGGTCAATCAATGCCGCCACACCTGGGAGACAGGAGGGCCTGCCTGCACCACTTCCTCCCCAAGGACCCCCGACCCACTACAAAGACCCTCAGTCTGAATCTGGGGCTTCTTGGGGCCAAGCGCCCACACCCAGGTCAACGTCCGGCCTGACCCCATAAGGAGCAGGCCGGCCGGCACCACAATGGGCCTCCTGTCCCTCCATTCCCCATGCCATCCCTTCTGCTGGGCCCCAGCACCCGGCCGGATGTCGTCCTTCCAATGTTCCGATGGGGAAGGAGGAGGGTGGGTCCAGCTCTGACTAGCAGCCCCTGTGAGCCAGGCAGGTGCCACCCAGATGTGCAGTCTGTCCCTCAAGGCCCGGGGCTTTCCCAGGAAGGTCACCCCCAACACACACTGTGCTGAACACCATGGCTGCCAGACCCTAACATGGCCCGGATGCCAGGAAACATGCCTCCCCACCCCAGGGAAGCTGGGAGCATAGAGTCCCCAGACCAAGCTCCTCGGATGACCCCTCAATTCCTGAGCATGAAGACCCGGTCCTTTGGGAAGCTGCTGGCCCCCCCAGGTGCCCAGGCAAGGGGTGGCTTACTCAGTTCCTGCTGTGTGCCCTGGCAAGGACACCTCATTCCATCCAGCGTCATGCCCCAGCACTCAGCACTGTGTACCCCAAATGGCCAGTCCCCCATGTCTGTGACTGCACTGTCCCCACTCGTGAGCTCAGGCCCTTCGTCCAGGACTGCCAACTTCTCAGAGGCCGACGTGGGCCAGTATCTCCTTTCTGTCCAGTCAGGAACCACAGGGTATGGGGTGGGGGGCTGGGAGAGGATGGCTGTGGTGAACTGGCACTGAGCCCGCAGCCCCACACAAAGCCTGCCCATGACGGGCCTCGTCCGGAAGCTGGATCTTTGTAGTGTCGCATTGGGCTAATGGGGGTCATGCAGCTCAGGGCAGGGAGGCAGAGGAAGGGTACTGTGTGACAGGCAGCCAAGGGTCCCCCTCAGGGAGGGTCCATGTGACCCCCCAGCTCCCCTCGGCTTGGCTCCCCCAGCCCAAGAATGAGAGAAGTGGCCAGCTGGGGTGTGGAACCCAAGCTCTGGTGCTTGTCACCCGCCCCCGCAGCGCCACACACTCACACCCCCAGTGGGTCAGTGGCGACTACCCTGGAAGCAAGGTAAGCACAAGCTGACTTGTGCTTTCTTATCTATACTGAACAATTTCCAGTCTGGCCAGTGTCTGGCCTGCTAACTGGAAGGTCGGCAGATCGAATCCCCCCAGCGGCTCAGCAGGAGAGGGGAGGCTTCCTACTCGAGTAGAGTTCCTGTCTGGGAACCAGCAGAGGCATGTCTACCCTGTCCTACAGGGTCGCCATGAGTCACTAACTCCACCGCAGTGAGTTGTAAGCACAAGTCAGCCTGTGCTTCCCTGGCTCCCTGGGAAACCCACACCCTATACTATCGTATCAAGGACCGAAGACAAAGAATGTGGTGTTATCTAGCAAGTGGGGGGCACTGTCAGAGGGGCCCATCTCTCAGGCCTCAGTCCCAACACTCACCCCCACAGCTGAACAGGCTGGGGGAGGTCGGGACTGGCCTCATAACAAGCAAGTATGGAAAACCAAAAATCAGACTCCCTGCCAGCGAGTGGATGCCGACTCATAGCGACCAGACAGGCCAGCGTAGAGCTGCCCTGCACAATTTCTTTCCCTCCCACTCGGTTTTCAAGGTCAAGTTGAACATCAGAGGGAAAAGGAAGGGTTAGCCCAAGGTCCTTAGGGGGCGGGCCTGGTGGGCATCTCAGAAAAAAGGCCTGGCAACCTGATTCAGAACAAGAACGAGCAGCCCCGAGAACCTGCCCTATAGCACTTCTCTGAAGCATGTGGTTCAATGCCAACGGGTTTGGTCTTTTGGGTTCGGAACACCCAGAACAAAAATTCTGAAAGCCCCACCTTGCAAGGAAGAGCTACATCCCATCCAGCACTCAACTGGACCTGCCAGGCCGAGTCACACCGGGCCCCACCTCCCTCGCCCACCAACGAGGGCTCCAGAGGAGCCAAAGTCCGTCACCACACCCAATGAGGGCACCCTGAGAGGCCACTGTTCAGGCGGGAAGCCCAGGGCAGCTGTAGGCTCTGCTGGGCCAGAGGCACCCCAAAATGCCTCCCAGCCGAGGTCACAGGGCCTCCAGGCCAGCCAGGGCCTTCATGCCCCCAGCCTGCAGTGTTCTGCTGGCCCACTTCACAAAGGGGGACACCTAGGCCCTGAAAGAAATGCCCAGGTCCCAGCTGGATACACAGGGCCGGCAGGGTACTGCTGTCCACGGGTGACCACATGGAGAGCAAAAGCCCTCAAACTCTCGGCGTCAGCAGCCATCACAGGGGGTCAGAGCCCCAGTGTCCCAGAGCGGGGCCCATGGGTCAGGAGCTATGCTATGGGGTCTGTGCAGACAGGGTCTGAGGGATGTGAGGACAGGGTTCTTGGGTCTGTGGTCAGTGGAGGTGGCATCTGAGGGCTCCAGGAGCATGGGGTCTGTGGGTCATGGGGCCGGGGTCTGTGGGTCATGGGGCCAGGGTCAGGGGGTACAGAGTCACAGGGCTGGGGTCAGGGGGTCCAGAGTCATGGGACCGGGGCCACGGGGTCCAGGGCCACAGTGTCCAGAGTTGCATGGTCCAGGGCCATGGGCCAGGGTCAGGGGTTCCAGAGTCATGGGGCCAGGGGATCCAGGGTCATAGGGCCCAGACCATGGGGCCAAGCCGGGTGGCTCACCTTGACGCTGCGGTGCTGCACGCGGACGGGCTGGCACTTGACACTGCTGGTGTTGCAGCAGCCCGTGCAGCGCCTCACCTCCACGCAGGGCGGCCAGATCAGGAAGTTGGCAGAGGTGGGGTCAATCTGGCTTCGAGGGATCTCATAGATAACCGTCCTGGTCTTGCAGACTGCGGGGATGGCTTCCTCTGTAGGTAGAGGTCACGTCAGCCCCACCAGGCTCCAGCCCAGGGCGGGCTGAAGCCCCAGGGGAAGCGTCAGACAGGCTGCCCCATGTGACTGGAGGCTGTGACTCCACAGCCTTAGGGAGCCCCTGACCCCTCACTTCTGCATGCTACGAAGCACCTTCTGGGGTCAGGCTGCAGAGCTAGGGAGGGGTGGCCTGTAGCTGATGGTGCCCCACCACTTCGGAACAGACAAGCCTACACAGTCAACAAGGCCACTGCCATGGTCATACCCGCTGGACTCAGGGAGGTCAGAGGGGGCCCAGCTATAAGAGCCAGATGCCCAGAGGTGCTGGGTGGGGTGATGGCCAAAGCAGGTTCCCCATAGCAGGAAAATGCTGCAAGGCGCCACTTACTGGGAATGTCAAGAAGAGGCCAAAGCAGAGGCGGGAAGGAAGTGGGGTTCCAGGGGCGGGGGTCCCCAGCTGATCACTGGGGGAACGGGGATGGCCGGAGACATTGGGAAACTGAGAGAACCAGCAGGTGGTAGTTGCCCAAGCAAGATAGTTGCAGTGGCTGCAGCGTAGGGGTGTGGATGTGAGGGGAAGCGGGCATCCCAGCCTTGGGGTAACAGAGGCCGGGGCGGGCCCTTGTCGGGGAGGTGGCAGCAGGGCGGCTCTGCTCTCTATAAGCGGCCATGCAGGACAGCCTGTGCCACAAGTGTCCATCTGGGCACCAGGCATGACCGACCACCTGAGGGAACCTTACTGGGACCTGCTGTCCACATGCTGCCTTATGAGGCAAGGCCAGGGCCCCACCTGTCCAGCTTATCACAGCTGCCAGTGGGCTGACGGGAGGCCCAGAGCCACACCACGGCAGCTCCACAGGTGACAGAGCCACCCCCCTCTCACACACACCCCCAGCTGCCTCAAGTCCTGCACAGGGTAGGCTGGCCCGATCGTCCACAGCACCCCCACTGCCAAACTACAGAGCCCACCTCAGTGGGCGATGTCAGGAAGGGGACAAGGGTCTCCCAGACAAGGCCAGCACCAGACCCAGCACAGGGCTTGGGGCGTGGTGGGGCAGCGGGTCACAGCCCCAAACCCCACAGCCCTGAGTTTGCCCCTTTCCAGGAAACAGGTGATTGAGCCCACATGGGCTGCTGCCACAACCTGCCAGGACAGGACCGACCAGGGGAGGGACTCTCTGTTGGGGCGGGGGTTGAGGGTGGGCAGATGGCTCCCCAACCTGGCCTGGCCAAATGCCAAGGGGCAGCTCCCACCCTGGCAGACAGCTCGCCCCCAACCCCCACCACCAGTCCACCAGCTTTTGGTAGCAGCCAGCTCTCAGGCTGGTACAGGGCACTCTGCAGGTGACCCTTAAACCACTGCCCAGGTACCCTCTATGGAAGCAGGCCTCTGCCACCCCCCACACCCATCTGCCATTGGGCCAACAGCCAGGAATTGGAAACAGGGCAGCCAAACATTCCAGTTCAGGCGCTGTGAGGGTCCGCTCAGTCCCTCTGAGGGCAGAGGCCGGGCTGAGCCACCAGGGTGGACTGCAGTCAGTCAATGGGAGCCACGCCTGGGCCACATTACCAGCTCCCTCACTCCTGCCCCTTACCAATACTCCTCTTCCTGCGGACGGGCACTGGCCGCCTCTCGGGGGCATGCTTGGCGTGGGTCCCCCGGGTTCTCAGGCTTGGCCCCAGAGCACCCTCAGCACCTGCAGGTAGAAAGGAATTGGGAACCAGTCCACACAGCCCTGAGGGTGATGGCCGGCTGGCTGACATGTGGAGGACAAGTCCCATGGACTTGGATGGGGTCTGCCTCACCCACACAGAGATGCCCTGGCCCACCCAGCAAGTCTCCCTCCAGGTCCAAGCTGAGGGTCAGCTGGGGACAGAGTGCGGGGGCCCCCCCACCCCCCATGAATGGCTCCCCCAACTGGGAACTGCTTGTGAATGTCCCTCTTGAGCTTCCACAGAGGGTCCCCAAAAGTGTCCGCCCAGCTTGGTCCCAGACCTCACTGTACCTCTTAGGAGGCTGGGGGACAGAGGACTGAATCTAGGGACAAGGACCTGGGCTGGGACCCAGAGACGGCTTGCTGGGTTTCTGGGGTTGAGAGGAGAGAGAGAGAGAGAGAGAGAGAGAGAGAGAGAGAGTGTGTGTGTGTGTGTGTGTGTGTGTGATGGTGAGCGAGTGTGCAGCGTGTGTGTGGAGTTGGTGGGTGTGTGGAGTTGGTGGGTGAATGTGTGAGCAAGCAAGACAACATGCAGATGTGTTTGACCCTTGAGTGAGCGTGTATGAATGTGTGAGACTGAGTGAGCGTGCAGACAGGGTGTGTTTGTCTGATGTGTGAGCGAGCATGTGTGAGTGTGTGTTCTTCGCCATGCCCTGAAGCCCCATCCCCTCTGCCAGGCATCAGAAGTGGCATGAGACTCCGGGCCCTGGGCCAGACCCCACTCGTGCCTGAAATAGGCCTCCCCAAGGGGAGCAGGCTGAAAAGAGGTACAGGAGGCCAGTGAGCTGGAAGAAGTAGGAGACCCAGGTCAGAGCCTGCAATGGCCTGGGGGATGGGTGCAGGGAGGGGCCTGGAGAAAGGGGTCCCAGAGTCCAGATCAGCACCGACCACACTAGGAGGGCTCTCAGGTTTCAGACTCCAAAAGAAAATGGGGGCGAGGGCAGGGATGCAATTCCCAACCGCCCCCCCCCCCTCCGCAACCCTTCAGGCCTTTCTTCCTAGTCTGTCTCAGTCTGGAAGGGTGCTGATAACTGTTTGGTGTCCCCGCCACACTAGAGTCCCCGTGGACTGAGCAGTGGGGCCTATGCATGATTGCCCTGGCCAAGACTCAAACCTGGGTTCCACTGGGGTGGAAAGTTGTACCCATGAGCCCCCACTGACCCCAGGAAGTAACATGCATCACTGCTCACAAAGAACTCGCCCATGCAGCCCCCCACCTCGGGGCCCCTCAAGGTCTGTGTGGCCACCACACTAGATCACCACTCCTCCTGGGTGCAGACAAGCAGGCAGGCCCCTTCCTGTCCAGCCCACAAGGTGCCCGCAGCACCCCCAAACCAATGGGATAAACCAGTCCTCCCACACCAGGGCCTAAGCCCTGCAGGAGAGGCCAAGGCCAAGGCCACTTCCGACCGACAATGCCAACCCTGCAGGGCCCTGCAGAGCTGGCAGGAGTCATTCCTTTTGGGATCAGCCACACCCTTTTCCTGGGGTGGCTGGTGCATTTTAACTGGCCAGCCACCCCTCTGGCCACTGCCCCATCGGGGATGCGAAGGTTCAGTCATGTGACAGGGCCAGCTTTTGACTTAAAATGACTCTGTTCCAAGGCCACCACTCTTTATTTCGCTCCTGACCCAAAACAAGAAGCCCACGGGGCTAGTCACACAGGAAGACTTTCCCATCAGCCAACTGTTTGAAGAGCATTTTATCTGCCCCACGTCCCCACACCTCCCCAATCTGCAAGTCACTTCTGGGCACAGACAATTGTGCCTTATCCAAATTGGGGGCCAGTGCCCCCCCCGCACGTGCAAGAGGAACCCTAAGGATGTCACGGGCTGCCGCCTCTCCGGACTGTACTGAGGTGGCTGAGGGAGTGGACAGTTATGCATTCGCTCTTTACATATGGGGAAACTGAGGTCCAGAGACCTGTGGCCATAGAACATTCACTGGTGGAAGGAGCTGAAATTTAAGCCTAAGGAGCTCTGTCCACCCAGTTGAGATGGCCCCACCCAGGCTGGCCTCCTGCCCCCGCTCAATAAACAGAAAAAACAATAGCCTTCCAGAGAGCCAACCTGGCTGAAAGCAGACCTCAGCAATCAACCACCCCACCACCGCCACCACACACAGACACACACACACACACAGAGGGATGGGTGGTCATGAGTCAAGCTGATTCACAGGCCGAAAAGGAAGGAGAGAGGGAAGCAACCTGGGGGCAAGAGGGGGACCTGGGGCAGCCCCATCCAGGATGGTAACCACAGTGTGAATCACTCATTCTGGGTTGGAGTTTGTCAAGAACTCTTCCCTGGTGTCTTCTGAGCACAGATGTCATCCTGGAGTAGTGTGGGGGCCAGGCGGCCACCAGCATTGGTCAGTGCTGTTAATGGCCCGCTATATTTACGACTAGTTACTCAATGGCCCACAGGCACCAGGCCAGGCGCCTGCCAGAACAAAGCTCTCCCAGGCCTGGTGCTGAATGGTCAATTCTCAGCACACACACACACACACACACACACACACCCCAGATCACTCATCTTGAAGGGACCACATGCAGCTCTCCAAACCCAAGAGCTGCTTAAAGGAACTCCCCACTCCTGCCCACCCCTCCCCAGAACTGACAGCACAGTGGGACACACAGGGGGCAGGCCAGGTGTCCCCACGCCCCAACCCAAGCCCAGGGTCTCTGCATCTCACAAGGGGACTAGGTGCTGGCTCAGTTTCCTGTCTCCAATAACCCGCACACATTGCTCTGCAGCCCACAAAAAGGCTGGGGGGCTCGAGTCGCTACAGGGGCACTCAGCAGAGATGCCGGGTGATGGATGTCCTGAAGATATCATGGCCATTCCGCTCTGATCCACACAGGTAGGCCATGAGTTGGTGCTGGTGAAATGGGACACCGGTGGAGGCACGGTGGAGGTCCAGTCTCATGCCAGGAGGCCCCCAAGCCAGCGAGTAAGGCCTCCTCCTCTGCAGTCTCCTACCCACCCTGTGTCCAGCACTGAGGGAGACCCTTGCAGACTGTGAGCCTTGGAGCTACAAAATGAGATAACGGGATGCAGGTGGGGGTGGGGGGATGGCCCTCCCACCACTCTCCAGCACTTTTCTCACTGACCTCCTGCACCTTCCAGGAGCAGGGCACCCCCAGCAGGCCAGCAGTGCCCAGGGTGGGTGGGGCAAACCCTTTCCCTGCAAGCTGAGAAGCAGCCCCAGTCCACAGGACACTAGCCTCCCTCCATCTGGCTGGACCAAGAGGGCAGGGACTTGGCGGAGTGGCAGGCCAGGCCCCTGGGGGCCCCCCATAATGCCACACCTGAGGTCCCACCCCAAGATGAGTATTCAGATGCCAGCAAGTCTCGTGGGGGCGGTGGTGGGGGGTGTGTTACAGGGAGGTGTGTCCTGGTCACACACACACACACACACACACACACACACACACACATGGCATTTGCCTTAAACAGTCAAAGCACACACACACACCCAGCCCCAGGACTGGTCTGCACAGCAAGCCCCTCAGAAAGAGGCCCCAGGCCAGGCTAGCCCAGAGTCAGGAATGCCATCAGCATAAACCTGCTGAGCCCAAAGCTAAAAGCATTAAAGGGAGGGGGCGGGGCCCAGAGGAGAATGAGAAAGTCAATGGTCCATTCCCCTGAGGCGTCCCCATGCACCCTTCCCAGGGCCAGCAAAAACAAAACCTGTGAACTGGGAACTTTCAGAGTCGCAGCGCCGGCTTCTGGGGGGATCGGTCTGCACCCACACCCGTAGGCAACCACTCACCCACCCAAAGCCCATCCCGCAGACGCACACAGCCAGGACCCCACTGCCCAGCCCACTCCACCCTCCTGGGACTGAAACCCCTGCCCACCCCCCACCCCCACCTCCTGCAGGCTGATAAGCATCTGCTGAGGATTCCCAGGGTCTGGCAGGAAATGGAATAGTTCAGGCCTCCCTGCCACCCTAATTTGGTACAAATTTCCAAATGACTAGGCACAAGTGATTCCACTTAATTCCTGGCCCCCCCAAAGCGATTAGTAGGGACACCATCTTCACCTCACCCAAAAGTCCTCCACCCCTTTGGTCCATCCTTCCATCCATCCTTCAAGAAAGGCACTGCAGCACACCAGAGAAGGGTCTTTATAAAAGGGGCCCCAAAGGTGGAGGGGGAGAGACTACTCCCCCCAAGATAGAGACCTCAGCCTTCTAGGGAGGGGGGCCCCTTTGGGAGGGGGCGAGGGTACTGGCAAAGCCAAAGTGGGGCTCTGGCCTCAAAACTCCACTTGACAAACAAACTGTTTTTCTAAAGTGGCTAGGCTCCAGGCCCTGAGGGTATACCCAAAAATAGTCCCCAAGAGCAGATGTGTGTTAGGCAGGACCTTTATTGGCTCATGAAGAGAGAGACCCGGCCTCCACAAGCCACAAGGCCCAGCCCGCGGGCATGGCCAGGCACCAAGTCCGGGGCATCACAAAGGCTCCCAGGGCTGCGGCGCCGTGCCTGCCTCCCTGGCCTCCGCCACGCGGGCTCCGGGGCGCCGGCCCAGGCCTGGCCCAGCTCTGCCCGATCCTGCGGCCTGCCCCGCGCGAACACCTGGCCTCGGCTGCGGCGCCCTCTATGTGCTGAACTTCCCGTGACTCTTAGTGTTTTCCAAAGCGCGAAAGCAGTGCCCGCTGGGCGGGCGGGCGGCCCGGGCCCGGAGAGAAAGTGGACTGGGAAAGGGGCCTGACTCATGCGCTCGCGTTTTTATGGCCGGGAACGGAGTGTGACCTTTGGGATCCAACCCTCCGGGGCGCCCGGGGCCGGGGGCGCGATTTACCTACGGAATCTATCTCCAGGAGTCGCTGCAGGTCCCGAATGCTGTGGATCTGACTATGAGCCAGCCTCTCGATGACCTCGGGGGGGATCTCCGCTTCCTGCGGGCGGAGGCGACACGGTCAGGCGGCGCGCCCGGCAGAGCGGGGCGTGGGTCAGTCCTCGGCCCACGAGAGGCGGCCGCGGACGCTGGGAAACTCAACCTCCGCTGGGTGCCGGTCACCACGGGGACGCCCGGCCGCCTGGCCACCGGACCCACTTGCCCAGACACTTAGGGTGGCACGGGAGGGTGGGGGTGGGGCCGGCAGGACCCAGGGCCTCCCCGGCCCAGGCAGGGGGACTCCCTCTTTGGACTTTCAAACAAAAGTCCCCGCCCTTGGGCCCTCCGCCCTGTGTCAGTCGCAGGAGGGCTTAGGACAAGGCAGCTCGGGGGAAGGGGAGTTTCTGATTCAATAGCGAGATCAACATCCAGAAAGATCAAGTTGAAATGCGTCACGGATCGGCAGCGAGAGTCACGGACGCCCTGGTAACACTTTGATCTGGCTTGGGTTTCACCCCCAGAACCGCGGCCCCAGGCGGGAAGCCAGGGTCTCCGATCCTCAGAGCACACACTCTCAATCCCGGCTCCGGCCCACAGCAGCCCTAGTCTAAATGAGGCGACCCAATCGCGGCGGCACTGTGCAAAACAGCCGGAAGCTTAGGGGTTAAATGTCTACCTCCATCCGCTCCGGGGTCCTGCTCGGACTGTCCCCCTCCCCTACACCTGCCTCCCCCCACCCTCATGCCTTCCCTGTTCTCAAAGGGAGGCGGGGGGGATTGTTGGAGGCTACAGTCCTAAGTTCCCACCCAGGGCTGGAGCCCAGCCCAGCTTTCGGAGACGGATTCTGAGGTGGGGGCTGGGGGTACACGACACTGGAGGTGGGAGGGAGCGGGCGCCCAGCCCGGGCAGGCTTGTCTCGCGCAGCCACCTGTACGCAGGCCCAGGGCGGGGGACTGCGCCTGCCCGCCCCAGGCCCGGCTGCGGCTCCGCAGTGC